TCCATGTGGGTCGGAGCTGGGGGAGGGGTGGGGAAATTGTTACTTCACTTTCTTGGAAAAACACAGACCAGAATCTGGGGGACATTCCTGGTTAGGTTATGAATACTTTTGGCCAAGGATGGCATCAATCCCCTAAAAGCATCCTGGTACTGAGACCTCTAATGTATCTGGACAGAGGAAGACCAGATCTTTTAAGAGTGAAATGAGTGAAGGGCCTCATTTGCTCAAATATACAAATAAACAACCTAAACTCCTTCAAAGAATTGTGTGTTCCTCTCATGAAAACTGGTTTCTTAAGAAATAGCACTGTTTTGGAAAATGTTGTGACAATTTGTCTAACTTTGAAGTGTGGCATGTTTATCTGCATTTAATTATCACTTTTTCACAACTGACCGTGGTTAAGCATGCTCTTCTGTATTTTAGGGCTGCATTTGGAGGCCATGATAGAGAGAAGAGAGTCTCTTATAAAGGTACAATGAATGTTGTGCTTACGATTTCTATGCTCCTCCACAGAATTAGCCATTCGTCCCTCACCCCACCCCCAAAGTGTTTCTCTAGTGCTTACAGGGCCTTAAATGAGGGGGTTCATGGGATGAATGGAGAATGTTGGGATGGGGCAGTGAGAAAGAAGAGAATCCCTGGCTTCTTAGAAGTTTTCCATGGAAGAGTTAGAAACACAGTTCTACTTCAGACTTCTCAAGTGGCTTTGAATATAATTCATCATCTTCTTGTGTCTTCTTGTGAATCAGGAAGACATCAGATGTGTCTTCCTGATTCACAAGAAGGTGGCCTATGAAGCGTCACCTGGTTGGGGTGGGTGTGGGGTTAGCTATCGAAATTGGATTGGCATGATATGAGAAATCAACTTGTTTTTTTGATAGGGGCTTTCAACCTAGGAAAATGCAGGGGCCAACTCAACATTTTAAAAAATGCTAAGGTCAAAGCCCTTCCTTTAAACTACATCTCCCAGTCTAAGCTGTCATGAGGCATTGCCTCCTGACCACAATAACCGGAAGGATTGAGAGTGGGAGATTGGAAAGGTATGCATCAGGTCTTCTAAAGTAAAGTCCTTAAGTATCTCAGAAGACCATACTGAAAGCTTATAATGTCAGGCTTCAGACATGAATTTTATAGGGGCCTCCCACTTAGAAGCAAGGCCACACCTTTCGCTTTCTCTTCCTTTATCCCAGGCATGTTACTATTATCTTTCTTTTTTTTCCCTCTTTATTATTTTTTATTAAGGTATTATATGTGTAGATATCTTATCAATCCTCACCCTATCCCCACTCCCATACATGCCCTCCCTCCCCAGAGTTTTTCATCCATTGGTTATGCTTATATGCATGCATATAAGTCCTTCGGTTGATCAGTCAATGAAAGAAAAATACCACATGATCTTACTCATTTATGAATAATAAGGAACATTATAAACTGATGAACAAAAAGCTAGATACTATTATCTTTCTAACTCCCAAGCTCCAAAGGCTCTTCCTTTACTTCTCACTTGTTTCCTAAGGCCATTTCTCCTACAAATTACTTCTTCTTACTCTGTGATTTTATAAATAAACTAAGGGCCCATTGCAGGAAGATTCCTGCAAGAACAGGGCTTCAGGTGGGCTTCCTTCCCACTATCATCACCTCTCCCACCGCCTCCCCCTCCCCCACCAGAAGTCACCTCTCCCGTATTTGTGTAGACTAGATGACTGGTGCACATGCACCGATGGGGTCTCTTGGGCTGGCCCATGAGGATCAGGCTGAAACCAGCTCTCTGACATCCCCCGAGGGGTCCCAGATTGGGAGAGGGCAGTTCTTGGGTGATGCACCCTAGAATCGGGCTCCCTCCTCTCTGGTTTTGGGGTTGTCATCCAAGAACTGAAGCTGCCAAATCACTGCACCTCAGCAGCTCCTGTGTTGAGTGTCTGCCCCCTGGTGGTCCTTTCACATCATAGCTACTGGTTGGACAGTCTGATGGTTGCTTAGGCTTTTATATATTTAGATGTTCTCTTATAGTTTAGAAAAAAAACCACACATGAATTGTTATAGAACATTCTGATGACCACACTCATGCAGGTGCCACTGGGATATTCACTGTTCTGTGTGACTGGCTCAGTCTGCATGAGAACTCCCATGGTTCCCACCTTCATCTTCCCACATCAGCTCCTAGTCTAGGTGGGGGCGAGACATTCCTCACTCCTGCCAATTTTCCTTCCTAGATGCACCTAGCAATTAGGCTCACCTATAAACACCTTTCCCCTGAGTCAATGAATATAAAGAACTATTGGATAAGTAACAATGATATTTTTAATTGCTTACACTGCACCTACAACATGCTTAAATTAAATGCTAGTTTATATACATGCATGCACATACATACATCCATTCCAAAAATATTTATTGAACCAGACACTGGAGTCACCACAAAAATGACTCATGCCCTTGAAAATTCTGTTATAAGGAAGGCTCACAAAGGGATCAAATTCAGGAAGTCACATCATTATCCTTAAAATATACTACATTGTACATGAAAAGCGCTGAAAGAGATGGAGACAGGGAAAAGATGAGAATGGTGGGCCATGTAGAGATGAATTTTTAGCTGAATCTTACAAAATGTCAGGCACAGAAAGAAAAAGAGCACATTCCAAACATAAGCCATGCCGTGTACAAAATCAGTCAAGAAAGAATATACTGTATTTGAGGAATAACAGCAAAAGCTCCCTGGCTGATGAATAGCGTGTGGGAAAGGAGAGCGCCAGGAAACAGGCAACGCCAGACTGAAGTGATTTGAATGCCATACTCTGGAGTTCGACTGTATCCTGTAGACACCAGGGACCAATAAAAGTTATTAAGCTCAAGAAATAAATGATTAGATTTATGTTTTAGAAAGGTAGCTCTGCGGCCAGCAGAGAGGATGGATTTCAGAGAAAGATCGCAACATTAATTTCTCTCAGAATTTTGGGGGTGAAGGGATGTTAAATAAATACTTCTGGGGTTCACCCTTTAACTACCGAATCAAAATCTCTGGGCTCCAGACCTGGAAGCCTGCATATATATCACGGGCCCTACAAGTCTAAGCCAGAGTCATAGAGGCCATTTAGAAAGATCCAATTGTCCGATTCAAAGAAGAAATGAGATCAGTACAGGATGCCCTTCCAGAGTAGCTAATACATTTTTAAAGGCAATTATATAATTAAGTGCCAAACATTTGTTACAGACTGCTAGGTTATCTTGGCCAAGTAATTGGATACCTGATATCAGGCATTTCTATGACAAAGCACTGATGGGCAAATCTTATCGGGAGCGTCACAAATTCCCAAGAGATCAAGTATTTATCACTTTCAACTAAGGAGTTGTGGGAAGATTAGATTAAGCCATTCTTATTTGCTTGTTTACTTACTGTCTCCTCTCACTCTCCTGTAATTCCCAGGTGAGTAGAAACTGTTGACACTAATGGGTCTCTGGTGCAAAGATGCCGACCCAAAGTAAAAGTAAATACATTCTGAAAAAAAACAAAACAAAAGGAAGATGTAGGAAAGGCTGCAATGTCTGGTGAAAGAAAGTACATTGGTCAGGGAATTAGGAGATTCCATCCTTTTCCATGTGGTACTTAACTATTCATTCAACTCCTTCAGGGTGCTGGATGCTGAAGACATTACCCCGAATGCATTGCCAATGTTGATTCCAGGGTTTGGTCCCGCTATTCAGGATTATGGAGCCCTGACAAGTTTACATTGTAGATGGAAAAATGGGTGCTGTGGTAGATCATAATAAATTCCTAGCTGGATCTTGGTGGGTGGTCAAGACCCAGGCATATAATTTTTTAGTCAAGGGTTTATCTGGGTTTACCCCTGCCCATTGTGTCTGTGGATCTCCCCTCCCCCCCACACACACACCTTACTTTTTTCCACTTTCGTGTAACTTTCCTTAAGTCACCTCAATTTAAAATGCACACAAGAAAACTGTAAAACTGTTCCTCTGCAGCAGTTAAGATCTGGCTTCCTGGCCATTGTCGTTCCTTTAGGTTAATTCCCTCCAGGCTTGTCCATTTCTTACATGGACCACATTAAGCTTAAACTTCAAGCCTTCATGCCTTAGTAAAATGAGGGACTTGGCCAAAAAGGAGACGATTCCAGATTTCACTTCGGCCGTTCATCTTCTTTATCTGCTGGCTTACAGTTCCCCCTCCTACATGAACAAAGGGACGTGCTCAGGCGCCAGATCCTTGCCCTCGGAGCAGAAATATAACCACTCCTCCGAGATCTGGTTTCTCCGAGAGCGATAGAGACTCCGTGCTGGATGTGGAGGCGGAAACCCATGTGGCACTAACTGTTCGGCTTCTCCCGGGTCCCTGGTGGGGGAGGCTGGTTCCTCCAGCTCCGGGCCAGCTCACGCTCCTTCATCCGCTGAAGTTTCCCCGGGTTGGGAAGGTGAGGGGTGCGCGCCCCACCTTGCAAAGTCGCTCCGCCCTGGAAGGGGGCGGGGCTGCAAAGACTCCCCGGGGCCCAGAGGAAGACTCCCATTGGCCGGAGGACGGATGACGTAGGGGGCGGGGCTCCCGGGGTGTGTATATATAGAGGAGGGGGTGTGCACAACCTGTGTCAATTTCGGAGTCTCTGGCCGCCCTCCTACTCGTGGTGTGACCTGAGCCGTCCCCTTAAGGCTTTTCTTTTCCCGCAGCCTGGGTACCCCCATCCTCTGTGGCACCCCACATCTCCCTCCCCCACCCCGGATCCCTTTTCCTGCATTTCCTCGGTGGTGCGTGCATTCGGGGGACTTTCTATTTGTTTCCTCCTCTTTTCTCTTTGTTGCTCTCACACACCGGCCGGACTCCCCCCTCCCCCGAAGCCCCAGCACTCCGAAGGGAGCTCGACGCCCGGAGACGGGCGGCTGCTGCGGGCTGCGCCGGCCCCACCTGCGGATCCGCCAGCCGGGGCGCCCGCCCGCCCGCCCGCCTCTCCCGCAGCCCGCGTCCGTCCGCCGGGGAAGCCGCCACGCGTTCATTGATGCACCCATTCCAGTGGTGTAACGGTGAGGCCGGGGGCAAGGAGGGGGGGGGCGGACTTCAGATCGGAGGCTCGCTCTGCCACTCGAGCCAAGTTTCTCTTGCAATGGGGCGGCCGAGAAGGCGTCCCGGAGCCCAACTCTGTGCTGCACGGCGCGGAAATGGAAAAGCAAACAAACAAACCAACGATTTCCCTGGCGGGCAGGGAAGGGGCTCCCAAGGGGCGGCGGCGGCGGGGTAGGGGTGTGGGGGCGGGCGTGGGGGTCGCGGCCCCTGTGGGGCGGCTTCGCTCTCCTGCCCCTGCCCCTGCCTTTGTGTGCGCTCCAACTCTGCTCTTTGTTGTGATGGTCCGAGGAGCCAGGAATCCGCGCTCGGGCTGGGATCTCCTAGAGGGAGCTCAAGTTCCCTCCCGGTCTGAAACTTTGCAGGCTATTTGCAACGTGCACCACAAGGCTTGTGCTGCGCGCGGGGCCGGCCTGGGGTGGCTTCCTCTGCGCCTTTGTTGGCTTCGCCCTGGCCGCTACAGGGCTCCGAGCCCGCCGAAGGCGCCGGATGAGAGAGCGTGGCTTCATGGAGCGGATAACCCTTTGCAGATACGTGTCTCGGAGCTCGGTTACCCCTGGGCGCAGGCTAATCTGCTCCCCAGAGCCTCACCTCCAGACCCAACTGCCCCGTTCATTAGCCACCCCCCCCCCCCCACACACACACACATACACATACACACCACCACCACCACCACCACCGTGATGCTAAATTTATCTCATCTGAGGCTTCTTTTGTGGTTCAGGTGATAACAAGTTGGGCGTGGGTCTGATTCCTCACCCAAGCTAATTGAACTGGGGGCCTTCCTCGGAGATCAGTTCAAAACCTTGAATACTAACGCTCTCTAATGGCCCTGGGATCGTCACCGCCTAGTTCTAAAGCTGGTAGAGCTGGGCCAGGTCACAGCTAGTCTTATCTCCGAGTGTTGGCAAACTGGCTAGTTAGAGGGAAACATTCATTCTGAAAGCAAGCAGACTCACTCTCTCTTGCCAGGTCTTGGATTAATTATTTCAAGAGGCTTTTGTTTTAAGGCAAGGTTTGGGCAGCATGTGTAAGAATGCCCTCCCCCTACCCCCTTCCTCTTGCTGGTGGCATCGAATTTCCTGACAATGAACCAAGCTGTGTGATAGGGAGGCGTTGCGGGAGAGGGGGCGGAAGACGGGAGGAGGCAGAACTGAGTACCCCAGCATCTGGGAAAGATTCCCTTGTCTGGGAAGGAGAGGCATTTCCCAGAGTCTCTGGTCTTTTCTTGGCCAGCCCTTCTCTTGACGTCATTCCCCCTCCCAGCCCACTCATGGAGATGAAACATTCTGATGTCAGGGCTTGCGGAGGTCTGCTGAGACAATGGGAGAAAATACTTCAGGAGAAGAGCTGGGGGTTGTTAGTCACACTGGCCTTTCTTCTGGCAGTCCTCTTTCAGAGAGGTTCTCAGGCCAGCCTAGGACATGCTGCTTTCTCTGTTCACTTCTTAGCGACGGAGAGATCCTGTTCTTTGACTTCAATGAGGAAGCAATCCCTCTCCCCCCACCATTTTGTGAAAAATCTCTGGCCCCCCTCTTCCCTGGGGTTGGTGTTCTGCCCAACTTTTAGAGGAAAACTTCACCATCCAAGCAATTGGACCATCTCTTTCTTGGCTATGGAGCTCTTCTCAACTACACCCCTATCACGTAAGAGTCCTAAACGCTGGGACTCAATCCTGGGTCATCAGACAAGAGAAGATGGTGAAGATGGACTGCTGAGGCCAAAGTGACTGCAGAGTGCACACACAAACCCTCTTCAATAGCTACTGCCACCCTCTGCAAGCTCCCAGAATAGACACAAGTGAGGTTCTTTGGAACCTTAAAGATACCAGGATCCAATCTGTAAAAGAATGCAGAGAGAGTCAGAGAGAGTCAAGGCAGATTGGAGGTTAGGTCCTCTTATAGCATCAGATGGTGTTGGGGGCATGGAGGTATGGAGTTGCTCATTGATACTGTGGGCACAGTTTCTTGAAGGGAAGTCCTAAGACCCCTTTCCAGAATAGACTCAGTCCACCATGATGTCTTCAAGAAAATTTGATTTTTTTTGGCCCATTGAGCAAATATTTGAGTGGAGGGGTGGTGAAAACTTTCTAAATCTTGCTAGAGACTAGATGCAAGGGCTTATTGTTGGGTATAGCAAAGTTTAGTAGCTAATTATTTCATTGTTTTCAGCTTAATAAAAAAAAAAACCTTTCGCCGGGACCGGTTTGGCTCAATGGATAGAGCGTCGGCTTGGGGACTGAAGGGTCCCGGGTTCGATTCCGGTCAAGGGCATGTACCTTGGTTGCGGGCATATCCCCAGTAGGGGGTGTGCAAGAGGCAGCTGATCGATGACTCTCTCTCATCAATGTTTCTGACTCTCTATCTCTCTCCCTTCCTCTCTGTACAAAATCAATAAAATATATTAAAAAAAAAAAAAAAAAAAAAAAAAAAAAACCTTTCAAGATAAGAATTACTTCTTTTACTTTTTGTTTACCCACAATGTGTAGGTCATTGCATAAATCAGGCCTTCCACAGTACTTGTTCATTGACTGGTCATCCATTCAGCTGAGGGCAGTTTCTAGGCAATTTTCCCAAGCATCAGTCTACTTTCCTACTTTCTTTGCAGTGTGAGTTTCTGCCACGGGTGCCAAGTTTTGAGAAAATTAGGAGTTATTTATCTGTTAACTAGTTTTTGAGAACAAGCCAAACACTAGACTATACACTGGAAAATATCCAAATTGCTTTCCTCAGACCATAGAGCATTCAGGTTGTCAAGGACTTTCATCTCTGATCTTAGGATTATAGTTGCTCCTCTACTGTGCTTCACTTTGTATGGTGAAAACCTTTGTGTCTGGCCCTTGCTGGTTTGGCTCAGTGTTTAGAGTGTTGGCTCTCACACTGAAAGATCTTGGGTTTGATTCCCATTCAAGGACACATATCTTGGTTGCAGGGAGGAAACCAATCAATGTTTCTCTCTGTCTCTCTCCCTTCCACCGTATCTCTCTTAAAAAAAAAAAATCAATGGAAACGTATCCTTGCATGAGGATTAACAAAAACAAAACAAAAAACACCTTTGTGTCCTCTTCCCTAAAAGGTAAATCCATCTACTCAAACCCCCCCCCCATTTTATCTTCAGTGTCTATCATGGTACTTGTCATATAATCAATGCTTAATGTATGTTTGTGTTAAGTTGATGCTAGGAACAACTTGGCAATGTAAGATAATTACCAAGTATTCAAGAGCCAGAACATGTAATAGAGCTGTGAGCACACAGAATTCTGGGAAGAGAGGGTCACTGGAATATCACAAAGACCAGGCTTGGTGGACTTTAGGAAAGCAGGGAGTTTCCAGTAGGGAAAGCTGATGAACAAAGGTATGGAGGCAAGAAGTAGTGAGGAGACAGGCCCACGTGGGGTGGTGCTGGAGGACATTGGCAGGAAGGTTAAGAGGGGACCCAATGCACACATGTTTAGGAGAACTTTAAGCTAGTCATGAGTTTGGGAAATATATGATAGAAACAGAGTAGGAGGAAATGAAAGACATGTGGGCTAAATTAGAGGAAGGACTAGACATCAATTAGGTGACTGGATAGGGACTTGGAATAGATTTGGGCCTAACGTCTGTTTGGAATAGGGACTTGGCAATAGATTTGGGCACGAAATATGAAAGGGGTTTGGAGGGAGCTCATTATATGGTCACTGGATTGATCTAGGGGATGAAGAGAGGTATGAGAAGCACATCAAAGATGACTTCATCTTTCAAGCGAGACTTCTGCTGAATTGTAGCTCTGGTAATTATAATGCAGAGTTCTGAAGTATATATTAATGGGTTCTGGCCCTTAACCAAGATGTCAGGAAAGTTCCTAAAACCCATGTTGAGGGCTCGAGTACAGAGCCAGGCCTTGTTAACTGCTGGAATACAGACAGTTCAAAGATGGAGTCTCTTTAAAATTAAACTGGTATATTAGAATGTACTTGAGATGTAGCAGGTATATGTTAAATTCCAGTTTTCTTGTCTCACCACATTCTGAAATAAGAATGTTATGCTTATCTTTTGGATCACAATGGTATTTTTGCCTGCAAGCATGAATAAACACTCAACCAGCTTATTGCTTATATCCTATCTTTTTTCCCCCTTTTCCTTATGGGTAAACATTACAGAAAATGTACTGTCAGAACCAGTAGTCCCAAGGTAAAGAATGGCTCCAGGACTGGCTAATCTAGCAACTCAACTGATAAAATCTTTCCTCCTCTTTGTTTCCCCTGCCACAGGCTCTATATTATATTGACCTCTCTTTCCAGCTATAACTTGGCTGCCACCATGACAGGTGTTTTGAGCAGACCTTGTTAATGTGTAGATTCTGATTCATTTCTTCTGGGGTGGGCCCAATACTCTGCATCTCAGATAATCATCAGGGGATATCATTGCTATCGTGAGACTGCACAGTGAGGCTTTTTAAAAAATATATACATTTTATTAATTTTTCACCGAGAGGAAGGGAGAAGGATAGAGAGAAACATCAATGAGAGAGAAACATCGATCAGCTGCCTCCTACACACCTCCTACTGGTGTACATGCCCTTGACAGGAATCGAACCTGGGACCTTTAAGTCTGCAGGCCGACGCTCTATCCACTGAGCCAAACCAGTTATGGCTGCACAGTGAGGCTTTGAGTAGAAACTGGGACAGTAGGCAGTAAGAGTGAACTGCAACCCCCTCCCTCACTTTCTGGAACTCAGCCTTGGAATGAATAATGTCTATTCTGGTCCTATTGCAGATTATCTCCTGGAGCAGGTGGCTTCATAATGACAAATGACCTTTGGGGTTGCCCTTTGCAATTTACAAAGCATATTTCTTTTAAAATAATATGTATTTTTTTAATTGATTTCAGAGAGGAGGGGAGAGGGAGAGAGCGAGAGAAACATCAATGATGAGAGAGAATCATTGATCAGCTGCCTCCTGCATGCTCCCCACTGGGGATTGAGCCTGCAACATAGGCATACACCCTTGACCAAAATCATACCCAGGACCCTTCAGTCCATTTTTCTGCCCATTACCTGAAATCTTGACACTCTTCCTCCCCCCCACCCCCTCCCCCCCGCCAAGATGGGGATGCAGCTTTAAGTACTGCGTGTAGTAGTCCATTTCGTAGATTGGTTACCTGACCCACGATCGCATAGCTAGTAAGTATTAGAACTAGGACATGCACTTAAGCCCCAGAATCAGAGGTTTAGGAACTCAGAGCCTGCCAGTTCTCTCTCCATCCTTGTTGACACAGAGTACATCAGTCCCAGAGGTACATTTCCAACTAGAATAATATTATTTTTCCTCCCCCTTTCTCTGCAGGGTGTTTCTGTGGCCTGGGACTGGTCAGTACTAACAAGTCCTGCTCAATGCCACCCATCAGTTTCCAGGACCTTCCTCTGAACATCTACATGGTCATCTTCGGTACAGGCATCTTTGTCTTCATGCTCAGCCTCATCTTCTGCTGTTACTTCATCAGGTGAGTGACTCCCTGGCTGGCCTGGAATGGGGGCATCGGGGAGGAGGCAGCCAGGAGTAGGGTGAGCTGAGCGAGGCTCACTAGCCTCCAGCGGGTGTCCTGCCTAAAAGACAGGACTTAGCCAGTCCTCTACTGGGCCCTTGAGGCCTGGTGTTTCTGTTTACATTAGCCTATCAAGTTGTCCCAGAGCATCTAAGGTCACCATAGGTTGGGCTGCATCCTGCCTCTTGGCCAATTATGCTAAGGTTGCCTAGAATTACTGTCTGACAAAGTAACATCATTGATGGTCCTTTAATTGTCTCTCTTCCCACTCATACCCGCCGGGTAGCCGGGGATACGTAGGCATGAGTTACACCAGTGGTACGTCCCTCTGCCCTCCTGGGAAATCTTTCTATGTCCAGCAGATGCTAATATTAGCAAGCTGGTGTCTGGAGATCTGCTTGTTTATTCTGCCTTGGGAGCTCTTATTTTTTTGAGAGTGAAAAAGCAAAAAGTCTTCCTTATTGCACAGGGACCCAGGGAAGAACTGGAGTTTCTCCAGGAACTGTTTCTTCTCCTGTTGATAAGACATGGGAACTGTGGCTATTCCCTACAGAAAATGTGAGGCCTAACTGGAATTTAGACTGGAAATTAGAGTAGTTGCTAACAAGAGCACGTGTTTGGTGTTAATAATTCTTTGCTGGATATTGGGGAGTGCTGAACGCCTCTGACTAGCAGAACATGGCTAGAGCCATCGTGATCACTAACCCCCACAGACGCCTGAGTAGATGTCAGCTGGAATCCAGGCTAGTGTCTGATCAAATCACCTAAGGTGATGAAATTAGGATGGAGGAAGCAGGAGATCTGGCTCCCCACGGAGGTGTCCTGGTGGATTTGAGTCCTTCCCCCAGAAGGAGGCTAGAGAAGGTGCTTGTCTATTCAGGCTAGAAGATCTCTCTCTAAGAGGAGGAAGTGCATGCAGGCCTGCTCCCCCAGTGCTCTCAGTTCTTTCTCAGAACTTTAAAAAGTCCCTACAACTAGAATTTTCCACTGAAGCCACTATCTTCTGTAAACACTTTTATTTTTTTCCTCTTGTACAGTGGTGTCTAGAATTTGCATCTCACTCTGAAGTGGGGGTGAGGGTAGGTTTCTGGTATTGCCTCACTCCCTCATCCTTCCCCAAGCCTGAGTTTTGTTCCTCAAACTCTTTTGTCTGCCTGACCACTAGCCACTCCCATCTCGTTTCTAGCAATTTGTGTGGTTCCCCAGAGACTGAAGGTGGACACATTCCAATACCAAAGATTTGTGTGTGACACTTGGAAGAGTCTGTAAAGCCAACTCCATTCTGTCCGTTTACACACACACAAACACACACACACACACACACACACACACACACACACGAGCTCACACATGCCAAGCTGCAAAGGTGATCAAGTAAAGAAATCTTAGGAAATCACTCTGGGCCACTAAGTAGATGACCACCAGGGCTCATTTCTGAATTCTGCCACTAATGGGTGTAACCTTAGATTTTTAACTATTCTTTACCAAGTGCCACCTGCATGCCGGACATCATGGTTAGCATTCTGTAAGATATTTAGCTCACTTAATCATCAGAACATCCCTGCAGGTTAGATATGAGTCCACGTTATAAATGCTGATTCTTACTCCTTGACTGAGAAGTGGAGGGAGGAGCTGTGGCCGTGGCCACCTCTTGACCCCTAACGATTAGGTGTCTGCAGAAGGGGAGGCTGGGAGCTGGCTGATTCAGTTTTGGTTGGCTGGCCTGAAGGAACAGAGCGACAGGACTGCACGATGCCAAAAGCCTTCCCGTGGCAGGGCTGCTCGGCACCACCTGTCCCTTCTGCAGTCCTCTGCCCCCCCTGCACCTCCCCACTCTGCCCTGCCGCCTACTCTGAGCCAGCCCACCCCGCAATCTCATGGTTCCAGAGCTCACTGCTGTGTGGCAGCCTGTGGGCGTCTATATATAGAAAGACACACAAGTGCAGAAGCCACTTCCTCTCCCCGCTTCTTGGTTTCCTCCTCAGCCAAAATAGGCCCGTGACCCCCACTCATGACCTGGTGAGCTCATTGGCCAAAACCAGCCTCCACTCCCAGCTCCCTATCTCCTTCCCCCACCCCACTCCTTCTCCCCCAGCCCCCAAAGGGCTAATCTCTGCCCCGCACAGGATGGAGGGGCCAGTGAAGTACACATAGGCAGGAAAGGGACAATTATGTGCAGGATCTGGCTGCATTGTTTGCTCCAAAAGGGAAAAGAAGCAAAGGGAGAGAGAGCTCACTGGCAGTGGCTGGGAATGGTGTCATTGAGATCAGGGTATTTTTAGCAACTTCGCTCACCCAACAGCTGAAAAGGCCACCTGTCCAATGTTGTTGGCTCCGTGTCCCCTGCTGGGATGGCCCAGCGTCTTTGTTTTGTTTTGTGTTTGTTTCCTTTTGCAGCCTGTTTGGCCCCGTTTCATTTCCATCTAAACCTTCCTGACCCAGGAATCTACATGCAGGGTGCAGGTGCAGCTTTAAGCCCCTCCGTGTTCAGAGCATCCTGGGCTCCGAGAGGCAGGTTTCTGGGGTTCTCTCAGATAAGACCATTAAAAGGAGGGCACCCCAAGCACCCGCCAGTACTGCGTGGCACACACGACATCATAGCCATGTTGCATGGAGGCTCACAGTTAGGTGTGGCATCCCCTCACTCTCTGGTGAAGAAGCAGGCTCCTCCCCGCTTCCTTCGTCACTCTGCACATACCTGCTAAGCATGGCTGTCTCCCTCAGAAGCTAGCTGTACGCACACCCTACTGAATATGTCTCCTTTCCCCAGTGTCTGTCGGCTAGCGGTTATGTAAGCTTTGGGTGCATCCTTCCCGCCCTTCTCACTGGGATGAGGGGCCAGAGATGCCTGGGAACATATGAAAGTGCAAAGTGAAGGATGGGGCAGTGGGAGCTCTGAGGAGGCCTTGAACCCAACACCCACTTTAGAAACCCTCCAAAGAGGGAAAAGAAAGGGGGCCGGGACGTGCCACCCAGGCCTCAGCCCCGTGTGGCTGGAGCCACTTGGACTGGAGTTCGTTCTTTTTTTTTTTTTTTTTTTTAATATATTTTATTCATTTTTTTACAGAGAGGAAAGGAGAGGGATAGAAAGCTAGAAACATCAATGAGAGAGGAACATCAACCAGCTGCCTCTTGCACATCCCCTACTGGGGATGTGCCTGCAACCAATGTACATGCCCTTGACCAGAATCGAACCTGGGACCTTTCAGTCCGCAGACCGACGCTCTTTCCACTGAGCCAAACCCGTTTTGGCTGGGGTTCGTTCTTTAGAGGATCCAGGCACACGTGGCCTGGCCAGGCCCCCGGACAATGGCGTGTTCCCCTAATTGGCGAAACAGGCCACATGTTGTGTTCAAGCGCTCGGGCTCTGTGATCAGAGAGACTTCCATTCAGATGCTGCCAGCCGGCTCTGAAGTTTGAGCAAGTTACTTCTCCCACTTCCTTTCCCCCTCAGCTGTGGAAAGGGAAGCCTCTCCCTCTAAAGCTGTTTGGAGCGGATGAGCAGGTACATGAGTGTGTCAGTGCGGGGATCGGTGCACGGCACGTCCTCAGATGGTGCGCTGTGGCCTTCGGAAACACGTGCCAGGTTTTGGCTCTTGCGGGTGAGGCAGCGTGCAGGCCACCAGCTGGAAACAAAAAGGAGCAGACAAAGAAGGGCTCGCCTGTGCTTTCCTGGCACCGTGCGTGCGGGGAGAGTGCTCTGTTTGCAGAATACTGTGTTCTCCGGGCAGCACGTCCCCCAGGGCCAACAGACGCTTCTTTATCCCTCTCCTCTAGCTGACTGGGAATAGCCCTTGTAAGAATATCTAACTTCTCTACGCTCGGAAGTTGTTGATCTACAGCGTTTGGGAGCCTGCAGGAGTTTACCTCCTGAGAAATGCAGGAAGAGGGTAGCCCCCAGAATGTGGGAGCTGCAGAAAAATGTTGAGGCTGTTGAGCCTGGGTCCTTAACTCACTCTGGCTGACCCACTGAGGCCCAAACCTGATCCCGTGGCCTCTCTAGGGTGAGCCACCCCTGTGAGGAGCACCCGTCCCACCCCCAGAAGAAGCCAGGCAGCCCGCCTGCCTCTCCTGCTTACAACGGCTCCGCTGGTGCCATGGTGACCACTTCTCTCCCCTTCTTTTTCCCCAGCAAACTGCGGAACCAGGCGCAGAGCGAACGATATGGATATAAGGAGGTAAAGCACGGCATCTTCCCCTGAGACTTCCTCCTCTGCTCCTTGTCCTGCTAGAGGCGGAAGAGGAGGAGAAGCTTGAGCTGTCCTGGCTGGACCCCCCCTCAGTCTCCCCTCTGGCCTTCTCTGGGGTTCAATCCTTTCACTGTCCTCAAGTCTGGCTGGCTTAGGCAGTGCCCAGAGCCCCCCTTAATGAAAAGGAGGGAAGAAGGAAGAGGAGGGGAGGGAGGGGGTGAAGGGAGGGAGGAGGGGGTAGGGGGAGGGGGATCCTGTGCAGAGCTGGGAGCTTCCCTCATTGGCTGATACCACCAGGCTTCTTTGGCTGATACCATGCTGCCTCCTTTCTTCCCAGGTGGTACTTAAAGGGGACGCCAAGAAGTCACAATTATACGGGGTGAGTGTGTTGGAACGGCATGTGGGAGGGGCCCCATGGGTAGAGCACAGGGCACCCTCAGCTTTCAGCCTGGACCCATTTGGGAACCTCTGAAAAGAAGGTTCTTTTACCCTGTATATACACTCTGTCCTAGCAGACTATGGAACTAACTAGTGTGCCCATGCCTGTGGTTCCTCCCTGTCCCCCCATCACTCTGCTCACACCCAACAAATTCTGGGTTCCCCCACACTGACTCTTTAGGAATAGGCCGTTCCTACTCTTTTCCCATCTGTCCCTGGAGGTCATCTAACTCGCTGCCCAAAGCTTCCGTCCATAACCAGGACCTCCTGTACACAGTGTTTGTGGTTGTCTGAACATCACAGATATCACTAGACATAGGACTATTGAGAAATGGCCCATTTTGTCCCTGTTTTTAATATATATATATATATATATATATATATATATATATATATATATATATATATAATTTATTTTTTACAGAGAGGAAGGGAGAGAGATAGAGAGCTAGAAATGTTGATGAGAGAGAAACATCGATCAGCTGCCTCTTGCACACCCCCTACTGGAGATGTGCCCGCAACCAAGGTACATGCCCTTGACCAGAATCGAACTCGGGACCTTTCAGTCCACAGACCAACGCTCTACCACTGAGCCAAACCGGTTTCAGCTGTCCCTGTTTTTAAATGTTTTTTTTATTGATTTCAGAGGAAGGAAAAAGGAGAGAGAGAAGTATTAATGATGAGAATCATTGATCAGCTGCCTCCTGCACGCCTCCTACTGGGTATCGAACCCAGGACCCTTCAGTCTGAAGGTCGATGCTCTATCCACTGAGCCAAACCAACTAGGGCTGCCCCTGTTTTTCATATCTCAACAAATTCAGATGTTTCCCAAGCCCTCTTCTAGAAGAGTAATTCCGTTGAGATTGAGGGGATTCATATACATGAACAGAAGGCTGGATTTAAAGAAGATAACAGACCACATGCCCTCATCCTTAACCTCTTGTTATTGAAACATCTCCCCTTGCCAAATGTACTAAGCTAGAAAGCATTAAAAACCATTCTTCTAGAATAGCACAGCAAAGGGAACTGTGAACCTAGGGTGGCAATAATGAATGTTCAGGATGGTGAGTGAAGTTCTTGCTCAATCTCCTCTCACACTGCCCCTGCCCCGTTGCTCTCCACAGCAGACCTGTGCAGTCTGTCTGGAAGACTTCAAGGGGAAGGATGAGCTCGGTGTGCTCCCGTGCCAACATGCTTTTCATCGGAAGTAAGTGTCGATAGTGGGGATGTGTGCCCAGAGGTGCAATATATATATATATATATATATATATATATATATATATATATATATATATATATATGTGTGTGTGTGTGTGTGTGTGTGTGTGTGTGTGTGTGTGTGTATGTATATATGTATATATGTATATATGTATATATACATATATATACACACATATATATTATTGATTTTTCATAGAGAGGAAGGAGAGGGATAGAGAGCTAGAAACATAGATGAGAGAGAAACATCGACCAGCTGCCTCCTGCACACCCCACCAGGAATGTGCCCGCAACCAATGTACATGCCCTTGACAGGAATCGAACCTGGGACCTATCCACCGAGCCAAACCGGTTTCGGCCCACCTACCTCTTGTCAGTGATGTCCTACAACCTGTCCGGACCGCAGGCAAAAGGGAAGGGTTCTATTGCAGTAAGGATAGGATGGTCTGTGTCTGAGAAATGATAGCCAGCCAGAGCAGATGGGGGTCTCTCACGTCTTCTGTGGCCCACAGGTGTCTGGTGAAGTGGCTAGAAGTACGCTGCGTCTGCCCCATGTGCAACAAGCCCATTGCCGCCCCCTCCGAGGCCACTCAGAGCATCGGAATCCTGTTGGATGAGCTGGTGTGAGGGCTGCCTTTACATCAGGCCAGGAGAAGACATCTTGCCTCATGGGTGCCTGGTCCCTCTCCAAAGCTGCAATGAACAAGACTGTTGGGTGATAATGGTCGTGCCTACCTGAAGGGGAGGTAGTACAGGACTGGTCTCCCACCATCACTGAGAGGCCAGACTTGCCCCTCCTTCCTGCCTCCGAAGGTCTTCTTCCCTGTTAACTCAGTACTGAAAGCATCGTCCATCAAGACCAATGTGTCCTGGTACTGGATGATTTCCGTGCCTGTCCCTGCTCTGGGGGAAGAATCACCCTTGGAGCACACAGTAGAGATAGAGACCATATGACCACAAAGCCTAGAAGAAGGGATGAGATGGGCTCTGTCTTCCCCTGCCCCCCATTCCTTCCATCAGAAGGTTAGCAGGGAAGAAAGGAAGAAAAGACCAAGGAACCAAGTACCTCCAGTGGAAGTGAGGGAGGCTCTGTAGGAAATTAGGAAGAGCAAGGACATAAAGGAGCAAAGTCAATGTTTACATGGGACCTATGGAAACAAAGGCTGGCTGGCCAGCCTGACGACAGGGTAAGGAGGGCCCTCCTTCCCCCTGCTAGGGTCTGAGGTGCTATCCACTCGCTCTCTTCCTCCGTCGATCTCGGAGCTTCCTAGTCCACGTCGGAGTCAGGGTGCCCCTCCAGAAGAAGGGCTTGCTCTACACTCACATGGATTTCCAGGGGCTTTTTTCTAAAAGAGCAAAAGGGGCCTGGGGAAGGGGGTGTCTGAAGGTGAAGACAGCAACACCTTCTTCCCCCTTGTAAATAGTATTTTTGTACTTCATCCTCACCATCTCAGGGTTTATATATGGAATGGAGGGGGTGGGGGTTTCCGTTCCTCCCCAGAGTGGGTGAGGGTGGGAGAAGGTGTGTATTTAAAGAAAATTAAATTTAATAACAAGTTTCTCTAACCTTCTGCCTGTGGTTGTGGCCTGTGTCTATTGGCTCTTTTCCACCACCAAGGAACAAAACTCCTTGTAACTGCTGCTTCTCACTTCCCCACATTCAAATCAAACACACACAGTTTCCTAACCCTTAAAAAGAAAGATTGGTGATAGATTACCGCCTGTACAGCACAGGTTGGGACTAATGTCAACGTACTTTATTACCTGAATAAGCCAGGCTCATTGGATTTCTGGAATATTTTTTTAAAAAATATATTTTATTGATTTTTCACAGAGAGGAAGAGAGAGGGATAGAGAGTTGGAAACATCGAGGAGAGAGACTCATCAATCAGCTGCCTCTTGCACACTCCCTATTGGGGTTGTGCCCGCAACCAAGGCACATGCCCTTGACCGGAATTGAACCTGGGACCTTTCAGTCCGCAGGCCGACAATTTCGGCGGATTTCTAGAACATTTTTAAAGAAAGTTGATTCACCATACCATTCTGCCAACTAAGACATAATAGAATTCTACTTATCTAAAGCGGTTGTGCTCTTAACACAACCAAAAAGGTCTAGCTTGCTACCATGGAGGCTTGATCTCTTTTCCCTTATACGTTTTTCTTATTAACTCACAATCACTGACCTACCTTACCCCATGCCCCAACTGGAAATAGAACTGAACATTTGACGCTCCTGTGTGCACTCAGATCTTGGACCCCATATCTTGCAACTTTGCTCTCTGTGTCCCAAGAGGGTGACGTGTCAGTAATGGATATGCAAGGTGGGTTGAGCGTGGCAGGAACAATTAGGCTGTGGTCACCCTACTTGGTGAAAGATTAGTGCCAATGGTCACTCCAGGGGGCAAGCCCTGGGTACTGCACAGGAGAAGCATCTGGAGTGGTGGGTCACTGGCATGCAAGCGATGCCAATGCACCCAGAGGAGCCAGGCCCAGGGGTGGGTGACACCTCACGCCTGCAATTGTACTGTGGAGGCGCTCAACACAGTCGGTGCTCATACTGGACAGAGCTGAGGTGCAGCTGGGGCATTTAGTGGGGACCTTTGCCTGAGGATGTGCCTGTTTTTGTCATTTCACACTTTCAGGGGTAATTCTATATTCCTTAATGCCTCTATATCCCCTGTCTGCTGCTGTCAACCCTGAGGCCTGGTCTTCATTGAGGGGCCACTTCTCCCCCTAGTCCTTGCTTTTTTAGAAAAAGCATTTTCTAAGCAAAGCTCTCCCTCCAGCTCCAGCTATAGGCGGGGAAACCAGTGATCTGCAGGCTGGTTTCATCTACACACTTCTCCCTCCCCATTTCCCCTTCCTCTCAAGGGAAATCCAGGGTTGGCATGTTGACATTAAAATGTTGGCACTGGGTGTCTGTTTGTGAATTTAAATAGCATTGTCCCGGAATCAAAATGACAGTGTAAAAATGCCTTGTGTTACCCTCAGTGCTTCAATACAGCTAGGCAGGATGGGACTCCACAGAGGGGGAAACGAGATGTTTGGCCTGGTCAGATATGAATTGTTAGAAGCCAACCCCAAGTTAAATAGTCACAAATCCCAAATTCTGAGTCAGTGTGGGCTTGTTACTCAGGTCAGCATTCCTGGGGCTGCTGCCATCTATGTGAGGGAAAAATCCTTACCTTGGGAAAGGGTGCAATCATGATAATTTGGGTCAGCAAGCTCGTTGTGGTAGACAGACCCTTAGCTCCCTTAGCTCCGCTGGTGTGGAAATCCAGGACGGGATTTATTTCTGCAGGAAGAGGATACCTGAGCTGAGTCTTGAGAGTGATATGAACAAAAGTACCCCAGGATTCACCGGCCTGTTGTGTGCCAGAGAGTGCAAACAATTCAGTGTGAAGTTGTGCTGGTTGTTCTGTGTGCAGTGGGGGCCAGACATGGCAGGGATCTCCCTTTTCGGCATCCCACACAGAGAGATGAACAAACCAGTTCTAAGTGGAGGCGGCAGGGATTGAAAAATAATAGAAAGAAAGAAGATACAGAAATAGATTTAAAGCTGGGAGCTGGGTGGGCAGCCATTCTGTCTGCTGGAGAGGCAGGAAGATGACGACCCCTCCCAGCACACTGATTTTATACCCCCAATATCAGGAAGTTATCACCAACTTATTTGCATTCTTAAGTAGGCCCTACATGCCTGGATTTACATATCTACTCTTGCCCCTGCCGACACCAGGGCTTGATATAAAGGCCAAGCTGATTACACTTTCCGCCATCTTGGGCAAATGTGTATCCTAGACACGGCTCTGCCAATTGTCTTGGTCTCAGCTGGCAACAACTAAAAGAAATGCCCAGGTGCCTTCACAGGCGGCCCTCTACAGTGTGCTGCCAGGAACCTGGGACTTGATAGACAAAGACTCCTACGTTTCTTTAGATCAGTCTTCTAAAAGATCTGGGAACTAAGCTTATATTTTTCTTTGCACAAAATATTCATGGGCATCTACACTATACCTTGTGCTGCTCCCATTACTGAAAAGGAGTTTGCATTGTAACTGTGTCTCAAAGGGGAACAGAGCTGAAGGAAGCTAGCTGATAATCATGTGCACCTGATAATGAGCACCTGGCCACCAAGTTCTTTCACAATACAATTTGCTTTCCTTTCTGTGTGCACCCCTCTGAGTTCCAGATAGAGTGCAGACAAAAGCAAATGAACGGTGCGCTCATAATTACACAGATAAGCATCAGCACCGAGGCACAAACCCAGATTGTACGGATCTAAGTTCAGTGTTGGCTTCGATACACAATAGCTATGAAGGCAGGTTGTGTTCCTTCAAGATAACGGAGCAGGTTCTATAAGTCCTGGGCTGATTGATGCAGTCATAAAGGACAAACCCCAGATAATAATCAAATGATTTTTTTCACTTCCCCTTATCTAGGACCATGGATTTAAAAAAAAACAAAAAAAAACCTCCACAGTGGATTGTGACTTTTAAAGAAACTTAAATGGATCAACCATTTACAAAGTTGGTGATTAGAGTGAAGGTGAGAAGCTCAAAGCAGAATTTGCAAATCACTGACTTCCATAGATTGGGACAATGGGTGTCATGAAGAATTGGCCCTTCTGTTCCCCCTTCTCTCCCTCCATCAATTTTTCCATTTCAATTCAAAGTCACCCCATTTCTCATCTGGGCTTTTTCCATTCTCGATAGGGCCTCTTAGGCCTCTCCAACTTTGCAATGATTTGCCCCCTAAGCTGAATCCAACCTCTGCCCTCCATTCTACCTCCATCTTCTGTCTGGGTGTCATAATAACTTTGATGACCTTGGTCATGTCCCTCACTCACAGGTGAATATTAAAACTAGGACAAACTGATCACCAGTCGTGCAGGCTTACACCACAAATGTCACTCATGAAAACAAGTTAAACTTGTTTACCATGCCTCAGACCATAACATTGGATCCTCTCTGTTAAAAAAAAAAAATGCCCATTTGATTCCTCCTGCAATAAGCTGGCATGCTGTATAGACAGGACATGACCAAGGTCACTTTTGGGCCTTGGCATGGCTTCTGATTCTGTCTCAAATTGACAGTCTCAACAACAAACTAGGGCATGTGCTCTGAAATGAAGGGAAACTATACAGCTCCAGGAGCCACAAGAATACGTTTTGATGGGTCTTGTTTGCAGAAAAATAGACAAGCTACAAAAACTTCTTGGAGCTGGCACCGGTTTGGCTCAGTGGATAGAGCATCGGCCTGCGGACTGAAAGGTCCCGGGTTCAATTCCGGTCAAGGGCATGTACCTTGGTTGCAGGCACATCCCCAATAGGGGGTGTGCAAGAGGCAGCTGGTCGATGATTCTCTTTCATCGATGTTCCTCTCTATCCCTTTCTCTTCCTCTCTATAAAAAAATCAACAAAATATATTTCAAAAAAAACACTTCCTGGAGAATTTTAAATCTGGGTGATAAGGACCAAGAACTTGGTGGTGGTCTTCAATATTATGTTGTAAGCATGAATCTCCAAACTCATACTTTCAGAAATGTATTGGTTTCTAACCTTTAAATTGCCCCTGACCTTTGAGCCAGCCACTTTCTCCCCATCTGCAGTGCTCTTTCCTCTCAGAACAATT